GCCACCTCGCCCAGCTAGTTTTTTGTATTTTTTAGTAGAGGCGGGGTTTCACCGTGTTAGCCAGGATGGTCTCGATCTCCTGACCTCGTGATCCGCCCGTCTCGGCCTCCCAAAGTGCTGGGATTACAGGCTTGAGCCACCGCACCCGGCCCCTTTCCCTCATCTTAATATTCACTGACTAAATCCTGTTTTTCCTTACAATCTCTCTTGAATTTGCCCTTTTTTTTTTCTTTTCTACACATACCCTAGTTATCATTTTATCAGTCCTTGACATTTGCCACCAAATTATTCTCCTATGTCGTTTCTTTTCTGTATAATTTTGTATTTTCTACTAAATTCTAAGCTTAAGGCCTCAAAAGTACCATGCATCATTTATCTCTTATCCCTAGTGTTCAGCACAGTCCTCAGCTCACAGTGAATTAATGAATGTACTTCTCCATTCATATTTGCTTTGCTCCTAACCTGCCTCCCCTAAAAAAATGTACGGTGCTCCATTTCCTGAGTGACAAATTATAACTTTATTCTGGCATTCACTTGCACCTAACTCTAGCAAATATGTGTTCTGGAAAAGTCTGGCCTTTGTAGTCAACCTCTATGTGTGTGGTGGGGTCATATATACACACAGGTACACGTACATATATATAAATAAGTATAGAATTAAATTTAGGAGTATTGCTCTATAGCCCACAAAAGTTGGAGTTCATGTAAAGAAGAATCTGCATTCTGAAACATTTATTGACTATCTAGTATTTTCTAACATCCTCCTAGGCACCATGGATTCAAAAATATTACCAAAGCAAAGTCTCTAGCCATGTAAGATCTCATATTGAGTGTGAGAGACTACTGTGTTGAAATGTTTACATTGAATGAAGATGGCCAAAAAAAGTTATTAATTGCTTCTAAGGTAAAGAAGTCTTCAGAAATGACGTGGAAGTTGAGTAGTCTTGAAATACGAGTAGTTATTTTCTTGGTGGATAAAAAGGAACAAAAAGGAAGGGAGTCTACACAGAGAGACCTGTTGGTGCAAAAGCACAGTGACATGAAACTGCGTGGTACGTTTAAGCAGTTGTAATCAGGCAGACAGCAGCAGGAGGCAGGTTAGAAAGGTAGACAAGGGTCAGCTCAAGGAGGGTCTTGTATGCAAAATCAAGAACTTTGCTTTTCCAGCAGATGACAGGAGCCTTTGCAACGGATCTTTTGAATGGATTCTAATTACCATTGAGAAATTAAACATTTGTAGAATAACATCTATGCAGTTAGGTTAAATTAACTGCAGTTGTTTATTTGGAGAACAGGATGGGAATGAGAAGGGAACTTTCACTCTGTGAGAGGTTGTTATGTACAGCATAGTGACCAGTTATTTTCAGTTCCCACTGAGGACAAAGCAAGAAGAAATAGGCTTACATCTCAGCAGAAGGGAAAATTACCTACAGAAGGGGTCCTTCACAGAAAGATTGAATGTGACTGACGTAGGTCATTAAAATGTTGTCTGAGGCTCTCTGGCTGTGTGCTGGTTTCTGTGTACTCAAACAGCCCAATTTCAAAGACATGGCAAGATGGAAGAAATTTTCAAGCTTGAATGAGGATATTTGGAATAAAGAAATTTCTTTTGTGTCAATTAGTTATTGAGAAATTTTGCTATATACCTAACTAAATTTTGGAGATGTACTTGAACATATAAAATATATTTAGTATCTTTCATAATATAGCATTTGTATTTACTAGGAAAAAGAGATGATCAGAATTAGCTATAGAAATAGTGTCCTATTAAAGGTATTTTGTATTCATGTACCATTTTAGAAAGTTATTAAAGATTAGGTAGATAGAATTAAATTAAATTCAGTTATTAATCTTTATGTGGAACATTTAATATTGGTCAGATGATTACAATTAAAATTGCTATATATGGTTTATTAACTGATTGCACCTGATCAGTTGATACAGTGACTCACTCTGTCTTATTTTCATTATCATCTGATGATAACTCAGCTTATTAAAATAACATAAAACTTTTTTTAGCTTTTTCAAATATTTCCCATTTCTAGAACTGCTGTTTGTGTTTTTATTGTTTGAAGATATATAAAAGAAGATTGTAGAGTGGCCATTTTGTTCATCTTTTTGCATCTTATAAAAATAAGTCATATATGTGTCTCTCCCTGCCTGTCATGGCTGGAGAGAGGAAAAACACATACAAGGATGCAAAAAGGCACTTTGCTTCTGGCTAGAGGAAACCTTGAAATGCATACAGTATAACCACCACTAAGACTTAGGCAATCTAGGCAACTATTAATTGGATATTTCATGTTAATGTAAAATTTTAACATGATTTCATATTAAACAGCTATCAAATGGAAATCAATACTATTTCTTAGTAAACTAACTCAAACACTTTGGAAATGACTTGTACATACTCAGATTGTTCTACCCCAAGAGATGTATATATCCAACTAGTACACTTAGAAGAGCAAATTATTGGATAAATGTCTTTAACCGGTAGAATTGATGTTCTTAGTTGCCTTCTGTGCTGACATTGAACAACGCAATAGGGCCTGAGAGAGATACAATGGCTAATGTGTGAATGGCATAGACTTGGTAAGAGAGACTGAAGGCACGATAATATAAAGTAAATAAGCTTCAATAAGTAAAAAATATTTTCCATTATATTTAAATATTATATATATATATATATTTTAAATAATTGATCTAATGTCTCTCACACATAGAGAAAGGTTTAAAAGACCACCCATTTGTTGTGATTTCCTGCCCGTTTGAACCATTAAAATGGTCTCTCAGTGTGAGGTTTTTTCTTAAAAAAAAAAAAAACAAATATTGCAATACATTAAGCAGCTTGTCTCCCAGACCAACTAAGATATTTCTCAACTTGACAAGACAGACATTTGGCCATGTTTGCCCATGCTTTGAAGGGAATATTCTGATTCTAAAAAAAAAAATACATGCAGAGTCTCTCTAGAAGTCTTTATCATTTCATCAAAGATGCTAATACATTTAACTGATGTTACGCTTTATTTATCTTTTTAAAATGTAACCATTAACTCTCCTAAATTTTGTAACAAATTAGATTGTTAATGGACCAGATACTGAATAAATATTTATTAATAAATACAATTTTTGAAAATTAAGTTCTTATACGTATGCATGCCAAAAACTGAAATGTTTTTTAATACAAAACAATCTAACACATGTGACAAAGAAAAAAATATCACCCATAAAATTGACATATGAGCACAGTGCTATTTTTCTGTTTTTTTATTTCCTTTCCAGTGTTAGCCATGTGCATTTTATTGTAAACTATAGTGTACTTGTACAGTTTGATGTCCTAAAAAAGTAGGTGGGTTTTTGTTGTTTTGAATTGTGTTCTTTAAAAAAAAAAAACTGTTTTTGTCTCCAAAGAGTCCATAAAACACATAGGAATTTCCTTTCCTTTCGGAAGATGTACCTGCAATTTTTTCTAAGCACTTAATGTTTTCAGAATTTTAGGATTTAGGTAGTTAGTGAACTTCTAAGGAAAAAGAAAATGTTAATTTCCTTTTTATTTGGAATACCTGGCATACTCTTAAAAACAATGCACTTTGTAAACATATCACACAGTAGTCCCAGGTAAAGACCTCTCTTTAGGAATGTGAGCTTCCCATTGATTCCTCTACAGCTGCTATCCTTACTTAAGAAAAATTGCCCTTGAGGTTTGTGTTGCTTTTTGTTCTTACAGCTTATCCTTGAGTTGTGTCATTTCTACCTTAAACTACTTGTAAGTGTTCAGTGGATCAGCATGATAATGTAAAATTTTAAATATTTTTCCTATGTGGGATAAAGTAATCCCAGAAATTTTGAAAGAAATCATTGTGACCTCGTGAACTATCAACATTATGCCTCCTGTGGCTGCTTGGTTGGTTGGAACCTTGAGACTAATATTTCTTCTAAGTTGTTTACATCATTGAGATGTAAATAGTTGCTAAAAACCTGTAGAACAAAACAGATCCAGTATGGGCCTGATTTATTAAATGCTATGTTTTTCTTTCTTAGTCACTAAAACAATAAGGATTAATTTACTCTGTAATTACCTAAATATCCTGTACAGCCTTTTTATAAACCTGTTTGTGAAAAATACTCATTTATTCTAAAGAGAGTAATCCTTAAAGCTAAAAACTCCAAATCAGTATGAACATCAGTGGACAAAGCCATCATCTAAGGATTATAGAATTAAAACATCCAAAAGAATGAGAAAACTTGATACTTTATGCCGTATTTATGCCATGTTTCTAAGTAAATCCTTGATTTTATTTGCAGCTTAGTCTAGTATGAGAATTATATTAAAGCACTAGATTTTCTTTTTTTGTGTGTCCTATGCTTTAAAGATTTTTACCATTCTAACTGTGGCATCTCTTTTGTTGTGTGTCTGAAAAGGAAATACGATATGTAAGCAAATAGAATTTTTCATATTATCAGGATTGTATGGTGAGATTTTTTTTAATAACTCAGGATAAGCACAACCTTGAGAATTCTTTTCTGATGGTCCATGCAAGTAGAGGAGGGTAAAATGTGCTTGTTCCTTTACATTAATTTACATCAACAATGGCTAGAAATAAATATAATCTCACAAATGAATATAACTTTTAAGAACACATTTTTATAATAAAGCAAAGAACAGAATGATGATAAAATAAGCACACGGTAATTTGGGCTATTATCAATACTTAAATGAATGTTCTTCTCTCCTGAAAAGAATAGTTCATTTTGCCACAATAATTTAGACATTTTTGAAAATACAGATTAAGGTTTAATTTGGCACTTTTATTGGTCATCTTACTTGCTTTTAAAATATGGAGCTCCTTTTAAAATCTAGAGCACCACTACTAGACCACATTAAGAACCTACCCCAAAGTTTTAAAAAATTTTTAAATGGGTTATAATAAATTCATTTGTTTAAAAAAGTATATATTTACTAAAAAATTACTAAAAAATGTGTTATTGTTTTCTTCCAGATCAGAGATACTAAATCAGTGGATCAAAAAACAACCCTTATGCATTTTATTGCCGAAATTTGTGAGGAAAATTACCGAGATATCCTAAAATTTCCTGAAGAACTGGAACATGTAGAAAGTGCAAGCAAAGGTAATTGATTTATAACTGCTTTGAGATTATTTCTTGCCTATGTGGTTTAAATGGAAAGATTAAAGAATCTGTAAACATTATTCATAAAAGTATTTTTTGCTTGTTTACTGATATAAGAAAAGCTGGAAAATAGTTTCCATTAGCTTATATTTGACAGCATACTACATTTTAATAACCTATTTTGTCTTACATCATTTTTTTAACCACTGCTATGTTATTAAAGCTTTCATTTCTCTGATCAGATAATATGTTTGTACTTTCATTTGATAAACATTTAAGTGGATATTGTTGGCAAAGGAACCGTACTATAGGGCTCTTGGTTATATGACAATGATTGTGAGAGTTTTTGGTTGAGTGTGCTTAAAAATATAGTAAATGAGAAAAATGTGTGTATATGTACATACACACAAATGTGTTATAAAATAAGGATGCATGTGAGAAATGCTGCAGGAAGAGATAATGTCCTGTAGTTGAGATGAGGAGGAAAGTACTTTTGAATGGGTAGATAAGAGAAGGCTTCATGGAAGAGGTCAAAGGTGAAATACGAGGTTAGGGTTTTACAGACATGGAAAAGAGGTTTGCTTTCCAGAGAGAAAACGACATAAGCAAGGCAAAGTGGCAGAATGTTTTAGGACAGGTGAAGGGAATGGTTGACTCTAAGGCTGGAGCAGTAAGCTAGGTATCTCTGAGACTTCAGTGTCAGGCTAAGGAGTCTAGTCTTGATGTGGTAAGCAGTACAGCATCATTGAAGGGCTAGAATGGACAAGCCATGGCTCCTGTGAGGAACAGGATGTGGGAAATAAAAATGTCTCTGAGATTTTAATTCAGGGTAAATAGCTTTGTCAGTAAGTATTATCTACTTTTGCAAGAGGTTGAAAAGTAAAAGAAAAGAAGATCAAGGAAACATTTGCTGAAGGTGAGATTATGTGCATGAAGAAGTGCATTTTCCCTCTTAGATAAGAGAAGTACACCATAAATCTTATACTTGAAATTGCACTGAAGTAATTTCATTCTGTAACTCTGAGGACTTTTGGTAAGGACTTCATATATGTTACTCAAGTTTATTACAAACTATATAAACCTGTTAGTTTCCTTTTAAGTTAAAAATAGTGAATCTATAAAACCCAGAATATTCTTTGAATAACATTGGGCATTGGTCATCTCAGTCGGTCGGGTATTGTCAATCAAATCCTCAACATATTTCTTTAATTTTACCGAGTTTGTATCAGTTTGTGGTCCAAGGAGCAAAATAATACAAGAAGACAAACTATGATTATATTGTATTATTTATTTTCTTTCATTGTTTTCAAAAAATTGTATAGTATGATGGAAAATTACACAAATTACAACTGTAATGGCAACTTTCTGGTAATAGCTCTTCTAAAGAATTTATCTTTGGATTTAAAAATACAGCTTCCTGACTAGAAGCATATTTACTAACAGGTAGCTTAATGTGGAATAATAACATTTTAAACATTTGGATTGTAATTTGAAATATATATATAGCACAAAAAAGACCAGTTCTTAAATCAGCTCATTTTGTTTCTATTAATACTTTTTGATTGCCTTCTACCAGAATTTTTTTTTCTAAATTTTCTTTGTTCAATATGTATAATGAATTTTTACATTTTGGAAAGAAGTAGATATCAATAATATATCTATATATACCCACACAGTACTACACATGAAAATATATATATTTATAGATAATATATTTACTATACTTAAATAAATATATACCACACACTCAATCAACAGGTATTTATATATACCTCAATCAGCAGTTATAGATATGTTATATATAACCATAGGTATTTACATGTGATCCAGCAGTTCTACTACTAGGCATTTATCCAAAGAAAAAGAAATCAGTATATCAAAGGGATACCTGTACCCCATGTTTATTGCAACACTGTTCACAATAGGTAAGATATGAAATCAGCCTAGATGTCTATCAGTAGATTAATGGATAAAGAAAATGTGGTATATATACACAATGGAATGCTATTCATCTGTAAAAAAGAAATAAATTCTCTCATTTGAAGTAACATGGATGGAACTGGAGGTAATTAAGTGAAATAAGCCAGGCACAGATAGACAGATATTGCATGTTCTTACTCATATTGCAGGAGCTAAGAAGGTTGGTCTCATAGAGATAGAGAGTAGATTGGTAGTTACCACAGGCTGGGAAAGGTGAAGAGTAGGTGGATGAAGAGTGGTTGGTTAATGTGTACGAACATACAGTTAGGTGGAAGGAATAGGTTCTGGCCTGGTGCAATGGCTCACACCTGTAATTTCAGCTAATTGGGAGGCTGAGGTGGGAAGAACACTTGAGGCCAGGAGTTTGAGACCAGCCTGGGCAGCATAGTGAGACCACCCCCATCAAAGAATTTGAAAAATTAGCTGATTTCATGCTACTTGCGGAGGCTGAGGCAAGAGCATTCCTTTAGGCTACAGTAAGCTATGATCACACCACTGCACTCTAGCCTGGGCGACACAGCAAGACCCTGTCTCTTAAAAAAAATTAAAGAAAATAGTATGCCCTAATATTTGATAGCAGAATAGATTGAATGTAGGTAGGAATGATATATTATATATTTCAGCATAGCTAGAAGAGAAGATTTGAAATATTCCCAACACAAAGAAATGATAAATGTTCAAGGTGATGGATATCCTAAACACCCCAAGTTAGTCATTACACTTTCTATGCATGTAGCAATATATCACATGTACTCCATAAGTATAAGTATGTACAAATATTATGTATCAATAAAAAACTTTTAAAAAGTATTGCTATTTAACTATATATGTGTATATAGTGTATATATATATATATATGTTTTATATAGTTATGTGGCGAGACATTCAGTAATATTGTACACTTTAGCCACTACTGCTACTGACAAAAGTAGATTGTAGAGCCCAGCCTTTTGAGTTAGACACTATAAATTTCTTTTTTTCTTTTTCTTTTCTTTTTTTTTTTTGAGACAAAGTCTTGCTCTTTTGCCCAGGCTGGAGTACAGTGGCACGATCTCAGCTCACTGCAACCTCCTCCTCCTGGGCTCAAGCAGTTCTCCTGCCTCAGCCTCCCAAGTAGCGGGGATTACAGGCACATGCCACCATGCTCAGCTAGTTTTTGAACTTTTTTTGTAGAGACAGGGTTTCACCATGTTGGTCAGGCTGTTCTTCAACTCCTGACCTTGTGATCCACCCACCTCGGCCTCCCAAAGTGGTGGGATTACAGGCGTGACCCACCACGCCAGGCCTGACACTATAACTTTCTAATCCTAGCTCTACTACCTATTAGTTCTGTAACTTGAGCAAATAATTTTAACTTCTAAGATTTTGTTTACTCATCTGTAAAATGAGACTAATTACAGTGAGATTAAATTAGTTAACATAGGCATTGCATCCAGTAAAATGGTATAGTTTACAGTATACGCTTGGCACTTAGTAAGTATGCAGCTGTTGGTGGACCATTATCTTTAGTAGTAGTAGTAGTAGTAGTAGTATTGATATACCACTAAGGATATTATAGTTGTTTCTTTTGTCTTATTAGAAGGGAACAATCATAAAGATATCCTATAGTTCCTCCAGTCTCAGTAATTATGTATCGTATTCAATTCTATTTGTTTGTTTCCTATTCCTGGGCTTTTGGTAAATCCTTTCATGTATTTTTTCTTTATTTTATTTTTCATTTTTATTTTTTGTAATATCACCAACTTCCTTTTTCCAATCCATTTCAAGAGCAAAATCTCTCTGCTCTATTTTGATTATTCCTGCTTTTGTGCATTCTTCCTGCCAGTGTTTTCAAAAGACTGTTGCCAAAAATCCTCTTCCTATCTCACTGTTTGGGCAATAGCAATCCCTATTCTCAAATTATTTTGACTAGTTATTTTTCTTTCCCTATGAAATTCAGACTGAGAATTCTCAACTCAAAAAGATCTTAAGCACATTCTGCCTGCTTGCATTCCTCTTTCATTTCCTCCTAGTTCTCATTTCAGTATACCCAGACATACAGTCTCTTGAGCCATTTTTATTCCTTTATAATAATCCTGTCTCTGTGTACGATTTCATACTGCATCCCCTGCCTGGAAATTTCACCTGCCCTGTACTCTAAGACAACTGACTGTCATTTGTCAAATCTCTGTTCAGAATCTATTTCCTTTTTTTTTTTTTTTTTTTACTAAAGCCTTAGGAGAAAATACTTTTTGTATTTCGTCTGCAGGAAGAAACAAAGCATTGTAAAAGGTCAAGACAATTACCTCTTATTCATATTTAAATACTTTTCCTTGGTATTTGAGTCTAACTTGTCTTGTTTACTTAATGTACATTTCAGCCCTGTTTGAATCACTTTCTATCACATTCAGGACTGTGTATAACATGGCAAAAAACAAAAATAGTCTAATTCATTTTATTTGATGAAGGACTGTCTCCTTGTAAAGTGATCCCCTTCTCTTCAAAAACAAAAACAAAAGAGTGCCTTTTTATTTTAAACTGGAGTGATACAGATAAGAAAAAACTAATTCAGTTAATGAATTATATAGCTAATATTAAAAGAACATCTTGATTACTACCAATATCTTTTTCCATATTTTTGTGTTATTAGAACCCACATACCTACTTTAATAGAGTTAGATCTTTTCTGTGTGGTATAGCAAATACCAAATTTATTTTACTTCAGTACTACAATTACAGGCATCAACATTATTGGCAAAAGGGAAAAAAATCACATTGACGTGAAAGGCAAACAAAAAGAAAGAAGTATGTGGGTTCCATGGAAAAAAATATATCATAATTACATTTATTCCTTGTAAAGCTAAGCTGCTAAAATTATGTGCTTCTTGGAAGGTGCAAAACTATGGTATAAACTTGGCATATTTTTCTAGACCTCTGTAGCTCAAAGATATTGGGGAAAAAACACATCATTTTTACATTAAAACAGATATATATTATGGAGTAGAATTCAAAATCCACATTAATTTTTAAAATAAAGCAGA